CACAGAGCCCACAGGGAAAGCCCTGGGGAAGGAGCCCTGCTCAGGTGCTGGTGTCACTTGTCACATCTGAGCACTAGGAGCCTGCTGTTAACCCTCTCCCCAAAGGAGAAAGAATAAAGCTGCCTCTCATCTAATGCTGGGTTGGAGGAGGAAGGGGGGCAGTCACAAAAACACCTTCAGAGACACATTAAGGACTTTCATCCCCACGTCCCCAAGTCTGAAAGCTTCGGCCTGTCCTGCTGGAATACAGCCCTTGCAAGCAGCCATGGGAGTGCACTGGTTAACTCTGAGTTTCCTGGCTGTGATGGATTTGTGCCAGGCCTCCAATGTTAGCTTAGTGTAATTTTTGGGAAGTCAATTTCCTTTTTTTTGTGTGTGTGGTTTTTTAGGCTTTTTTGGGTTTTTTTTTTTGTGGTGATGATTTTTTTTTTGTTTTTAATTTTTTGTTTGTTTTGTTGTTGTGGGGGTGGGTTTTTTGTTTTGTTTTTTGATTTTTTTTGTTCAAGGTTCTTTCCTCTTTTAAATCAAAAAGTAGGAGTATTTGAATGGGTGTCAGTATAAGGCTATCCATCCATGGGCTGTAGCTTCCCAAGAGCATTTTATAGGCACCATGGCACCTGCAGAGAACAGCCATGGAAACAAACACCAAGTGACTCCAAAGCTGTTATGCTGAATGCCCACAGAGGCAGCCTCCTGGGAGCACTTCTATCCTCACACGAGCATCACTCCTTGGACCTGACCACCTTTCCTGCACTGCTGGGTGCTTCTGATACCACCAGCAGATGATGCACAGTGCCTGCTGTCCTGGCCAGCCTCCAGCTCAGGTAATTACATCCTACAGGAGTTTCAGCTGGATATTTTATCCCTTCTTCACTTCCGGCCCTGAGCCGCTTCAGTGGGAGTTGCTAAAACTCTTTCCAGATCCACCCCGGATGTGAGTGCGTGGAGGGAATTCTGTGCATCCCAACAGGTCCCAGGAGCCCGGTGTTTCAGCAAACAACCTCCAAAAACATGTGACAGCATACCTTATTGTGTACATCCCATAACACCCCCTCCTAAAAACAAGGGGCAGAGCTGGGAAAACAATTGCCCTACCACAGCAGGAACCAACAATTTCTGCACACATGTGCTTCACACTGCCCAATGGAGCATGATCTGGGACATGGACACTGCCTCCTGTGCTCTGCTGAAGCAAGAACTCTCCTCCCATCATCTCACAGGCTTGGCACAATTAGAACTTGTGGTGGCAGCGGTGTGAGGCTGCAGCCGCAGCTGCTGGCCAGCCTTTGTCAGTGGCATTACGTGCTGCAAGGGATCCGGGTGATTTAGGGTGTACAGGAAAAGATGTGCCAGGCTTAGAGCAGCCATGGGAATGCGCCTGGGGTCCATGACAGGCCAGGTCAGCAGGTGTCAGTGAGCAGGAAACACTGGCAGGGTGACACTCTCACCAGTTCCTGACAACACAAACTGCAGGCAGAGAGCTGGGTCCACCTCCCTCCCGAGGGAGCATCTGCCATGGCCACAGCAATTCAGAGCCCTTCCAAGCTGTCCAAGACATTTGGAAATGATGTGCTGACCCACCCTCCACTCACTACAGCCCAAGAGTCCCCAGGCTTGTAAGTGGGCTCTGCCTAACCTCTGTTTTGTGCCCTCTTTGTCTTATTCTTCCAGCAGATTCTGCACCAGGTGCTCACCTGGTATAAAATCAGTACAGTTTCGGTGGCTTTAGTGAAGTCATGCCAATTTAAATGAGTTGAGGATCCGGCCCTCCAAGTTACTCAAGTTGCCAATTCTTCCTTTGGATAATCCTGAGGGTGATTTCACAGCAAGCAGCAGCACAGGCCCAGCCAGCCTGGCAGGATCAGCTGTGCTTTCCTGCCTCCCCTCTGCCCCTCCACCCTCCCTGCCCCAAGTCAGGCAGGCCCTGCTGGGAGACCCTGCTGCAACAATGCTGGACCCATCATCATTTGCTTTGTGTACTGAGTTTCCTTAATTAAAGATAGATACAGCACAGAGTAAATTACTCTGGGCTTTCGATCAGGGCTTTCTACTTGCTTTTTGCAGGAGAGTTTTTGCCTTTACAGGGATGTCATACCTTGCCAAGTATTTGGAGAGGGTGCTGGTTGCTCATCGAGCATCAAACCCCAACCAGTTTAGATTGACTGTGAAACAGCTTGTCCTTATGAAGAAACTGAACACTGTCTTCCCCTCTCTCTACTCTCACCAGTCTCTACTCCAAGAAATGCAAAGAGCCTGGATCTGCTGAATGAGCAGCTAGGAATCCCTTCCCTCAGCCCCAGTCCCACCGGTGTCCTGCCATCCTCACCACGTCCCACGGTGAGGGAAGCAGGCGATATCAGCACAGGGAACACGCCAAACACGCCACGGCTGCAGCAGGCACTGCATGCACAACAACTTTACATGCTCTGCCCTCACAAGTCCTTTGCTATCCCCCCAGAGCAATTTTCTAGGCAACAGCGTGGTTGCATTCCCTTCTCTATCTCCTAATAAATATCATGCTAAGCAAGATGAGTATCTTCTTCCCAGACCAAGCAGCATGACCCACTTTCTGAATCAGGGCAGATGCAATTGGGCCCTGGAGTCCTGGACCCCTCCCAAAGCACAGAGATTTTGTAACAATTACAGCAAGAAGCAGAAGGAATAGCAAAGTAATAAGTGATCAAAGAGTGGAGTGGTGGAGTTGAAGCTGTGGGTAAGTACTGCTCCTTGCCATCCTGTACTCTGACATTTTCCTAGGACACTGAGGCAAGAGCTGACATTCACACTACATCTCTCCTCCACTGCCCTACATTCCTCAAAAGTAACAGGTCCAATTTCAAATTCTGGCTAGTGGCTCAGGCAAGCCAACCGT